CTTCTGGTGGAACCGACCTTCGAATCTCTTCACCCAACACTTCTACTCGAAATGGAAGTAAGCTCAACAGCTTGAAGAGGGGCTTATTAGACTTTGCAGATTCAACTGTCGCTTCTTAAAGCATTGGGCCACTATAGACGTCCTAGAATCTGATTTGGGATAAAATGAATTTTTGAGGTTATCAGTAATTCTTGAATAAGAACTAAGCGATTTGAATATTGAAAATGATATGAGTATACTTCATAATATCATTGAAGTTCACTTTCATTTGCCTCAAAAAACGTTTATTTACTCTTTCCTGGATGAATGGTTTCCACTTTCCGTCAGCATCGCCAACAGAGAGAGAAATCAGACATTTAACATCATCTTAACGAGTTTCCACTTCACCACAAAGATGTGGGTATCATTGGTCACAGAGCAGATGTGACACTTAAGTAAAGCTGAGCGTCTTCGGATTCACTAACTTCTTTTCACAAATTGCTGATAGTCTCGAAAACAACTCTTATAGAAAATAAATACCGAGGCAAATACATGTATGCCTCATTGACCCAATCACTATTAAACATGATTAAATTAAAGCCTGGCTTTTCTTTTCAATCATATCTGCCCTGGTACCAAATTGCAACCCTTTCCAATTTATTGTGGAAGAAGCCCCATTATCAGTCCTTATTAGTATTTATCTATTAGAATCTATATCATATCCACATCTTTTTCATGGTTATCTGACTTGCCTTAAACTTAAAAATCGAATTATCCTTTGTCTTTGGAAAGGACTTGCTCCGGGGTGAACAAGCCGCCAATACGCTTCTTACAAACGCTCTGACGGGCAACTTGGAGGCATACAAAAGCCTGAAGGAGTGTGTGGGCGGGCAGAGTAGCGTATCGCGACTGGCTGATCTCAACGAACGTATCACACGCGTCTATACTCGACTTATCCGGTATGGAGTACGTCGACTCTGTTTGTCGGACGAATACACCTTTGATTTGGTTGATGGCCGACTGACAGAAGAGAGTCTGCAGCTGGATGCCGAAAAAAATATGACAGAGATGGAGCTCAGAGACAAGCTAGGCGTGATCAGAGAGATGCGAGAGTTTCGACGTGCCAAGGAGTCATCAAACCTGCAGGAGTTGATGAATCTATACCAGGAAATGTTGGACAGAAATAGCGAGCACAGCAAGCTGTAGGTTGTGAAGTAGTGCTCGAGTTTGTTTACACTTACTTAAGAATACTATTGGGTTTTTAGCTGCATATGAAACGACCAAAGTTGGGTACTTCTGCTTCAGACTAGGCTCATCAATTCGTCCCTTGACTTTAGAGATTAGTTATTATTTTCTCACTTGGTTACAAGAACTGCGTAAACTAAACTTTGGTTATGACTGGTAATCCACCTTAGAAAACGTTGGCTTATTTTGCTCTGGGTTAACATCAGGGACCTAGATCTTAGAGTCAAATGGACTGATGAATAAGCGTCTAATTTATTGTTTATGTTTACCATTTGAAATGGTCTTTTTAGAGTCTGTTCCCCACAGTGAAGCATAATAAACTCCTTATGTTTGATTACAGGTATGGAGACCAGCAGTGTTTTAACCAATTGATTGTGTTGTAAAGCGGTACCAGATGAACGCGCCTTGTCTGAAGTCCTCTGATATGCGGGTCATAATAATTTTCACCGTCAGACAGTGGATTTGGTACATTTCCAGTATATGTGCTATCAAATGCTCGTGGCAGAGCATGATAAATTGCGACTTGATCAAAATGTATTTTGTTACTTTGAGCGAATAAAATCAGTCAATCAACAAGAAAATAAACTGATCTTTGAGGGTATGAGAGGGATTCGAAAATGAGTAGAATGAAGTAGTTTGCAGTTTGAAAGGTCAAAGTTGGAGCACTAATTCCAACGGGCAATTAAACTAGTAGGTGTCATGACGCTTGGTGCCGTCAAGGGTAAACAATTTCGAAGTTGTGATATAAGGTAGATGAGATGAAAGGATAGTGGGTGAGTAGGTGTAGCAGGGCGAAAGGATAAGTAATAGTAAGATCATTGGCAACGGGATGGACTTTATTTGTCTGTTCGACGAGTTATAGTTTAGTATCAAGAATGGTAAGACTCAGTGATCATGGCAACTACGTTGCCAGTGAAAAGTCTTGGAACTTATTATGTGCTCAGTTCAACACAGGGAATTGCTGTACTTAACTTCTAAAGCAGAGGACATTGGGCAAGGTGCACTCAATGATGGCGCCCTAATAGCACGACCAAGTTGGAAGACGAGGTCAGACTACTTTCAAATTTGACTGCTTGCCTAGCAATTAGTTGCAAATTATTGGACTTTTGTTTTTTTTTAGAACAAAAACGTTCGTTTCTAAAACTGCCTTTAGATCTTGTATATGAGCTTTGTTTATTCTAGGAATCATGAGATGATGTAGGACAAAAAGGTGAATTTTTCACCAATTATGTGGATAGGCCTCATGCTTCTAGTAAATTTACCGTATTCTTGAAGTGGGTTGACCTCGTTGTCGCAACTTGGTCTTGTTGTCAGGAGAACTATGTAGAACT